TGATAATGGAGTAATCATTGCAGGGAACAAGCTCAGAGATCTAAATTATCCAGAAAGCCCCTATCCCTGGGATGTCACACTCTTAGCCTGCTGATTAATTACTCTGGCCTCTATGCCAGATTATGGCTCTAAAGGAGCTCTAGGTTTGATTTAGGAGCTGGTATGCCTCTAGCTATGTGAACGTAAATGAAATCTTCTGAAAATATTTTGAAGTAGATCTAGTTTTCATGCCCACCAATAGGTTATTCTGATAATTCTAAACTATCCCATTCATTCAGTTTGATTTAGGTTTGGAAAACATGGATTTTGATAAGATTAAATATAATAAATTTAAGAAGCACGAGTTTAACAATTTTTGGAATATCCTTATCACCAATCTATTTCCTGTTGTTCCAGGACATGAATTAGCTTCCTGGCGATGCTGATATACAATAAGAACTGATAAACAAGTTTAAATTATGAGATTAATTGTTAGATGCTCATAACTAGAGTCATAACTGGTGTAATCCCATACATAGCCATAGAATGACAGAATTGTTAAGGTTGAGAAAGATCTCTAAGATTACCAAGTCCAACTCTTACAATAATATTCTTACAATTTTCTAGAAGTTCTGATCTTATTTTTCTTTATCAGTTTAGTTATCAAATTTAAATTATTTCTAATAAAGATATTTAAAGGACCAGCTTCAAGAAGACTGGAATCTAATGGAAAGATTTTAGATTTCCTTCCCTATTTTGCAGGTACTATGGGCATGGACATATGTTTAGTTTATTTGTTGTAAATTCCCAAAATATATAAGCAAATTATATATTATAAGCAAATTAAGGTTAATAATTAATATTTAATTTAACCTCCTATATAACACTCACCACATTTTCATCTAGAGCTTTCCTTGATTTGCCAAATAATTTTTGTTTAAACTAAAGCATATCTCTTGGGAAGAAAATTAGTCTCTATTTAAAGCCCTTAACTGATAAAGTATTTATCATAGTCTTTGGTTATCTGTTCAATGGTTAATTGCTCAATCATTTCATTTTACTTTGCACTTCAGTAACTTTGGTTTTTCCAGCATGTAATGCTGGGTGGTTTTTTTGTACTAAATTAGAGTTTTCTGCTATCACTGTTTGTTTATTTACAAGTAGTTACAGAACATGATCTACTTATTCCTTAATCTTGTCTCTGATAAATTACATTAATTGGGCTCTATGTGGTCACTCAATGTAAATGTTTAATGAGAAAAATCTTCTAGGAATCTTTCATGACCGATACAAGAAATATTACACAATTTGTTTTCACCAATACTGAATGTAAATGAAAGGCTTATATACTCAGATATGAGTCCAAATACCTGTGAGAACTTGTTTGAGGGTAAAGTAGTAAGTGGAATTTAAAAAAAAAACCAAAAAACAAACAAACAAACAAAACAAACAAACAAACAAAAACACGAAAAACAAAACAACAAAACTCCCGATATCTATTATCTACATGAAAGGAAGGATGAGTGATTCTCATCCTGAAATGAAAACAAAATACTATGAATGAAACAAACAACTAACAAAGCATTTGGATGAAAAATCCAAACATATGTATGTCATGTATGTTATAGAAACAATAGATGTTTCTGAACAGAGATATAGAAAAACCATCTAAAGATCTTCAGAACTTTTAAGTGATATTGGAAAAAATTAAGTCCTTCTCAAATGTCTTCATCTTCTAAGGTGAAAGAAAATAATAAATAATACTTGTACATCATCTTAGCATACATTAATGGAGTTAATTTATTTTAGAGATTTAAAATATTATTTTTATTTATTTTAAGAGAGGAGGTAAACATGAAATAAAACTATTACTATGATATAGGGTGATATAAAATATAAGCTACCTCATAGAAAAACCCTGTGCTTGACACAGGCTATGGTTTCAAAGATTAAAGAATAATTTTTTCACATTTTGATTTACTCCTTTAAGAATACTACTGGTCTTACCAGAGTTTGAAGATTACCTAAGTAACCCACATAGAGGTTGTTTCTTAATAAGAATATATTTTCTACAATTTATTGCTGTTCTGCTTCAACGTTGCAAGCTATAAACCATGTTAACTTTATTCAAAGTTCACGTATGTAGAAGATAAACCATATTTCAGTTCTGTTACCAAGTTTCTTTTCTCTCTTGATATTTGCAGGTACTTTTTTTTTTTGCAAAATAAATTTAAGACAAACACCTTTATAAAATAAAGAGATTCATCCTTTTCCTAACTACATATTTTTAGATAAAGTGTTCCACCTGTTGATTTTGCTCTGGCTATATAAAACAAGGGGATTATTGACTGGTGCACCTGTTTTCCTCTGTTGTGTAAATCCTCCTCAGTTCAAAGATTACTGATTTGAAAGACTCTAGGAGCCCCTTTGGGTCTGCTGCAGCCTAATTTGATGCAGTTACCATGCAGGGCAAAAAGTCTACCTGCTAATAATCTTCAAGATTGGAGGCAAATCGAATCTTCTCTGATTGGAGGAAAAATCAACCAAATCTTGTTAAGGAGAAGTTCTTCTCAATTAAATATCTCTCTTATACCCACAGGAATCTATAAAACAGAGTGTTTGAACAGTCAGGACTGAGAAAGAGTAGGGAGAAAGGAAGGAAGTTCTAAAAAAACCCTTTTCATATAGATTCAGGGTTGATTTTTGGGGGGGAGGTTTGTTTGATTTTTTTGGAGTTTTGGAGGTTTGGTTATTTGTGTTTGTGGGGGGTTTTTTTTGTTTGTTTGGTTGGTTGGTTTTGGTGTTTTTTTTTTTTTTTGCTACAGTTATAAAGCCTTATAAAGTAATGTCTCTTAAAGAGAAGTCATACTGTGGAGGCACATTTAGAAACAAGTCACGTTACAGATCAGGCAGTGTAATATCATTCATTACACATGCTTGAAAAGATTCATTCATGCCAGGATTCAAGATGGATTTTTTTGTTTTTCCTCAGGGAACAAAGACTTCCACTTTTCAACTGCTTCTTTTGGTTGTTTTGTTGTTTTGTTGTTTTTTTTTTTTTCCAACCTGAAATTGGAAGTAATGTTACAAAGGGAACTCAAAATGCAGTAGTTATTGCAATTATTGATCACTGAACTGCAAGGAAAAGTATTTCAAGGCATGAACTGCATCCTGAAATTTAAATTCCTAGTTTGCTGACAAAATAAGTACATTGCTAAATTCTTACTGCAAGTAATGTATAATTACAATAAATAGCTTCTACAAGTATATGTCATTTAAATTAAAGAGCAATTTTACAAATGAAACTCTGTCACCCTTTTGGAAACAGGACAGATGATTGAAAATCTGAAGCAGATTGATAAAAGTTTCTGATAGACACTGACTGATTCATCGATATAATTGCACCATTCTTTTAAGCAGGACCATTTTCAGAGATTGTGTCCTAATAAAAATGCACTGATGTTTTCATAAACTTGTAACTGTGGACTTTAAACAGGTCTTTTTCTTTTAGTCAGAGATTACCCCTTTTTCTTGTCTCCAGGTCTGGTGACCTTTGACTGATATTCTTGACTTTCAATAATGATCAGATTTTTATTCTTGTTTGTTTCAGATTTTGTTCTCTTCTTTCTGTTCAGGTATTTTTCCTCCTTTTTCTGAGGAAGTGTTAAAAGCCAAATCATGCACAGTCTTCTGGAGCAAACGTGATACATATTTTTATGTTGCTAAGTAATCAGGAATTAAAAATTAATATTTTCCCTAGAAAACTTGCTAGATATTTCTATGGTATTCTAATATTTATTTGTATGTTTGATTAATTTTTAATAAGTGTTGTGTTAGGAGGATTTTTACTTTAAAAAAAGAAAGGTTAGCATTTGTTTTCTTTAACTAACATCTAGAAATTCAAGACTTGTTTTCACTTTACCCAAAGCCTACAACACGGGTGTGTGGCAATGGTTTTTCACTTTGTTTGGGGTATTTGTAATTTAGAGTCTGGCTTAAACAAATGCCTAGGGATACAGGTTGCCAACTGGATACCCCATCTCTTATTCTCTTTTTATTAATAAATCAGTTTTTCTGATCTCTTAATAAAATCCAGCCCTATGTGAATTTCATTTAACCCCATCAGGTCCTCCTTGAAATTAATACAGTGGCAATGGAAACCAGTTTTTAGCACCATGTGATTTTCAGTGTTCATTAACTGACATTCTCCCTGTACTTGTACAACTTCCATACATGTGCATATTCTAATTTTGTGTCTGTTGAGCTAATATATTTATACTCCTATTTTTAAATAAAATTGTGCTTGTTCATTTATCTGAGGAAGAGCAGAATGTACAAAGTAAATGGGGAGGGCTACATTTCATAATTTTGTGTTTTGCTTCTTGATTATAGAATCTAGTGAAGGGGCTGTGTTTTATTCAGAGTCCTGCAGAAACTGATCTGAAATGAAAACATGAAACTGGGAAATGGATCCTGTGATCTGAGTCCTAAAATCTTTAGGCTGTACAGTAGAAGAATTATCCCTGAATAATGCCAGGAATACTGCACAAAAAGCACACCATCAACCCACTGAACTTGTCGGGAAAAAAAATAAGTCCATTAAAAGGCAAACCTCCCTAGTTAAAATAGAAAAGTTTTTTCTTCCAAATTAGAGCTGCTAAAGTAGGCTCAACTTTGCAGCTGAAATGAAGTGATTTAATCCTACACCACATGAAAGGAGAATGTCAGCAATTAAGTCAGATTGGAAAGCTTTGTTAGTGAAGGAATGCCTGGCTGGAGCTTGCCCTTCAAGGCTTTACAAGGGAAACAGTAATTTATTTAGGCAATCACTTGACAAAATACAAAAGAAATAAACTGATAATGGATTGGCACTTCAGAGGAACCAAAGGCCTTAATAAAACTGCTCTGGACCACCCTGGTCTTCCTAAATATCCAGCTCTCTGAGATGTAACCTTCCAGTAACCTTGCTGGGATGCATGGCAGTGTGATTCACCAGGACACCCTTATTCTTCTCTTTTCAGGCTCCTGCTCACATGGCCATTGGCAGTGCCAGAACGGCAATTGTTACAGACCAGAACAAAGCTGTGATTTTGAAGATAACTGTGGGGATAATACAGATGAGAGTGAATGTGGAACTTCCTGCACCTTTGAGAACGGCAGATGTGGCTGGAAAAATTCTCTGGCTGACAGTTTTAACTGGGTGCTAGGGATCAGCTCACCTCAAAGTCTCAGACCTCCTGCAGACCACACCTTTGGAAACAGAACTGGTATGTTTTCAGTTCACAAAGGAGACATAATTGTCTACATGAAGTGCCTCATACCTCCCTTCTCAGGCATCAGGAGAGTTCTAACATGTCTAATCAGGGTGTTATTTTCAATGTGTGACAATATAAAACTATTAATTATCATGGTACAATGATTTTAAGTTAGGAAAAATCAGTTGTTTCTCACATGAGTCAGAAAAGATATTTTGATACTTGTCTGGAGAGAGGCATTTGGCCTGGCTGAAACTTGCGAGGGTGAGTTAGCTCAGCACTGAGATCCACTGGGTCCCATTCCTCCACAGCTTATTTTCAAGAAGCTTACACATACTGGCTATCCATACTTTAATTTTAGATAATGTTACATAAATAAATTTAAATAAATGGTCTGCTTTGTTTGTGGTAGTGCGCTTCCCGATTCGTTTTGGCCAAAGCACCCAGTTATCTGCTCTTATTCTTGCTACAAGCTCCGTACCTTCATCCTTTGCTTTTGAAGGTCCTACAGCTCAGGCAAAGATGATACCAAAGCTGAGCTCAGAACTGACCTTAAACTGAAATATTTCACAGTGGGGCTGCATGAAGGTGTGACAGTAGTTGTTGAATGTTTACATGAACTGCTGAAGGACAAAACCCAAGATACTTAAAGATACATAGAAAGAAAATGAATTAATTTACATTTTTCTAGTAATAAATGAAGTATTGTCATGAATATGTCAATAAATATGTTAATATCTTGACCTCAGGTAAAAAGCAAATTTCTCATCCCATAGCATTATGGCAAACATCCACAGTTGCAACATAGCAAGAGAAGTGTCAAAGTTAAAATAAGCCCATTTTATTCCATGTCTACTGGAGTAATTTTTTTTTTCTAAACCATATATAAAATTTAGTAGATATGCAATTATAATTTAAGTGTGTTATTTATACTACATTTATATTTATGTGAACCACACATTTCTTATTTGTACAAAGGAAAAAAATGAATTTGAAAACTTGTAGAATGTATTATGCTTCTGATTAAAATAAAGATGGAAATCTCAAGGACCATATCAGTATTGGAAAATATTAACTCTAGGCATCTATTTTTACAATTTCCTCTGACTAAATAATTTATGTGTGTGTTAATACCCATAGAGAGTACAAATGGCCAAAAGTAATATGAACCATTAGGGATACCTGATGATATATAAATGTATAAGATTTTTTTAGCTGTTTCAAAGGTTTTTATATAGTGTGACTTGCTAAAGATTATCTTTCAGAAAACTTAATAATGAAATTTGTTATGTTGTGGCTATTGTATGATGTACTGTCAGAATAGCAACTAATGCTGTCAGGCAAGGATCTGTAATCAGAGTAGGTGGAAAACACAAAAGTATTCTCACTCTTCTACACAGTGGCCCATCCAAATCTTAAGCTGCTACTAGTTTATTCCTGATACAAGAAGTACCAAAGGAATGTGATCTGGTCATTTTTCACCCTGGGCTGAGATTGGCTACTATAGGACCTACATGAGAAGTATGCTTCATGTGTCTCTGCATTTACTTTGCTGAGCCTTGAAATCTGATTTGAAAGTCTAAAACATTTTTTCAGTTATCCGTCTTTTAATTTCAGGACACTTCCTATATCTTGAGGCCACTGCAGTAGGCCTAATAAATGAAAAAGCCCATGTGAAGAGTTCTATATGGAAAGAATCAAGTGGGACTTGTGTGATGAGCTTCTGGTACTTCAAGTCATCAAAAGCCATGGGACATATTCAGGTTCTGATTAAGGTAATAAAAAAACCTTTTTCTTTTGAATATATTATATCTGTAAGGGTGTACATGCTCCAGTAGAGTGCTTCACCACTTTGACATTCTGTTGTTTGGCTTGTAGACTGGAAGAGCTCCCACAAGCTTCCTAGTTCAGTGCTGATTTTTATTACTCTTGTCTCTTAAAAACTCTCTTAGCATTTCTCTTCCTAAAGAACCTTTTCTGAAAAGCCACAGAAAGTCTTAAAATCTTTCCATTTTCCCCTCTTCACATGCAGTACCTATTTCTTTGATATTCTCCATGAGAGGCTACCTTCATATTTTGCTGCCATCCCTATCAGTAGCTATCAGTATTCAATCCTATTTTTCTTATGGGATGGCATCCACAAAAAACAAAATACAAAAACAAAAACAAACACACACACACACACACACAAAAAAAAGAGTACTAGTAACTTGCACAGAATAAAATTCAAAAATATGACTGCATTAAATAATTTATCTTTTCATGTAAACAAGTACAGAATATATAATCGATTTTCTTTAGAATGGTATTTTCTTCACTAAATGTGAAATGACAAAAAAAATTATTTAAAAAGTTTCTTTAGCTATTAATTCACAAGTGAAAACTGAGACATTCATTAAAAATTGTTTATTCCTTTGTTGTTCATTAAAAAGTATTAACTGCTTGTGAAAGTGGTTTTTAAATAATTATATGATTCTGAGTAGAAATAATCAATGCTATTCAGACCCAGTGACCAAATATATAGTAGAAACCTTTGCAAAAGACAAAAAACCTTTGTGTATTTGTGTTCATTTTTTATCTGTGCAGGGAGTTCTGGTTATTCCAGTGGTGCAATATATTTGCCATATGATATTCTACAATATCTCTAATAATGTTCTGGTGAACAGCATTAAAATATTCCAGTGCATATGTTGACTGTCTTATCTTTAAATGATAAATTATATTTTTCCTTGAAAATAAACTACTAAAAATTATTTCTCAAATGTTCTGTATATTTTAAGAACAATTTAAAAGTCTTGAAGATAAAAGACTTCAGTAGGCTTTAATATCTAAGGATACAATTTGAGATGTGTCTGTCAAAAATGTAAAAACAATGAACCTTTTGAGAGGCTTTAGGAGATTTTTTTCATGGATTAGTCCAAACATGTACAAATGAAAAGAGGCTACTCATCAAGCAACTGTATAGTAATGAGATGTATTTACACAGCTCTTTTTCTTAGGAAGGCTCAAATCCATACATGAGGCAAGTAGATTAAAGAAAAATAGTAATCATTGTTTAAAAATAACTTTGAATTGTTAATGTATTAAAAAATTAAAACCAAAATAGATCCCATTACTTAAAGTGAATAAAGTACAAAAATAAATATCTTAACTCCAAGGTCAAATTGTATTCTTATTGCTTTACTCAAATGTGTATATTGTGGCACCCAAATATTGTAATTATGAGCATTTTAGGATTGCTTAATTTTAGTTGCCAGTTAACTTGCAAACTAACTTTGGAGGAAAATAAATATTAGCTGCATTAGGCATGTGTGAGTGGTTTGCATGTAGTTTTTGTATCCCTGTTGATTGTGAACTGTAATTGTCACATTAAGTATATTGTGGCACAGACAGTTGCCTTAACAACAGAAAAATAATTCTAATCTCATTTTATTACATGTAGTGAATTTAATAATGCAAATTCAAATACTTCTGTTAAGCAGGAAACAAAAGATGTGAAATAAAAGAAAATCAAACAAACTACACCACCTAAAATTAGTTAAAAAGAGACATTTGTTCTCTGCTGAGATATTGTCTCTGAGGGGTACAAGTCAAGTAGTTGAAATTCTTAATTATTTTTTTTATCCTCAGGATGGACAAAGTGATTTAAATTTTTTTTATTTTATTTTTTAAAAAAATAACCTGAGCAGAGGTTAGAATAACTAGAAAGTTATTCCCATTGATAAGAGTCCGTAGAGATTATTTTTCACTCAACTAATATTCAAATGTATTATTTTTTTGGAATTTTCTATATGACAATCAGTAATATTTCTTTTTTTCTAGGTTTTGTCAATAATCTTTATGTTTTCTCTTTCTTTTTATTGCACTTACACATTGCCCTCTTTTTTCCCCCCTAAATTTTATTATCCTAATGAACTTTTCAGATATTATTTTTGTGTTATTTTAAACCCTTATCTCCAGGGATCTTAAAGATATTTTTAAAGGTAGTATGAATAGAAGACATTTGAGTCATGACTAATTATTCTAATTCAATTCTTTTTTTTTTATGAAAACAAGAATTTTACCTGGAGATAGGAAAAAATATTATTGTACCTGGGATTTTTTGCAGGTCAGCTTAAGTTTACCTGTTACATTGCTTATAAGGATCCATAAATCAATATTTTAATTAAAGTTTCTACTTAACAGTGTCTGTACAAATAAAGTCTAATTAAACAGCACATAATCATGGGAAGTCATACTGAAGCTTCTCCTAGTTCACGCTGTAACACCAATATACTACCATCCAAATTTAGTATCTCTTGATTTAAAGTAAAGTTCATGTCAGTGAAATCATATCTGTAAGAGGTGATTATTTGAAAATGCAATGGAGAGAATCTGGAAAGGTAATTAACTTCTCCAGTTTGACAGCTTAGCAAACTGTCTCTGGCTAAAGTCATCCCACCCATTAAAAGTTGAACTGAGACTGCACACCTTACATACAATGGTACAGCAATGAACAGTGTGATGAGAGAATATTGTATGGAGGCAGAATGAGGAAGACATTCCTCCTCCTCCTGAAATATCACAGTAGAAGAAAAACAGTAGTCAAGAGTAAAAAGCCATTTTTGAAAAATCATAGTTCATGGCATGCATTGGTGTTGTCTCTTAATATTTGCACTGCTTGTCCACATTCAGGAAGTTTAAGATTATCATACTAGTATAGTAGTATCTGAGATTATGGTATAAACAATAAAACTGAGGATCATAAAAAGGGTGCTATAGCCAAGCATGAACTTTCTTTTGTTCAGATTTACTGCTGGAGAAAATCAATTCATTTTCCTAATGCAATTTCTCTGCAGCTACTGTTATTTTATTTTTTTCTGCTGAAATTGTACTAGATATTCTCTGGAGAAAACCATTTGTATACGTGACAATAATCCAATCCAAGTGACAGGCTGTTGAACTAGTTGCAAACATATAGTATTCTTCAGCCCCCTCAATATTTATGCAAATAACAGATGTTGATATTCCAGCTATTTACAGAGACTGTAATATCCAGCTCACCATCCACCTAAATTCAAATTACAAAGTCATTAGTTGCACTGCAAAAGTTCATCAGACAAACAGAATATTACCAGAAGAGGTCTGGATACAACTAGTCAAAACTTTGCTATTCCAGTGAGATTTTGAGATATCTGAATCTTCTCTGTGGCAGTTTTAAAGGAATATAACCCACTGGGGAAGATAAAGTGCAGCATATTCACTATACCCGTTTTAGTACCTTGTCAGCACTCAGTACTGGTTTATTTTATGAGTCAGAAGAAACAGTGCATTTTTAAATGTGCTTATAGAGAGGCAAGCAAGAATTATTAGGTGAAAGAAATGATAATTTTTGTTATTCTGATAATCTAAATGTAAGTTGCTTCTATCATAAAAAAAGAAGCAAGTCCTAGGTATCACAGTGGGAAAGGAGCACCAATCAAAGAATAAAACCATTTGTTGAAGATAATTTTTGTGTTATCAATTTTGATTGCTTTACATATTTTAATTAAAGAAGATAATTTAGGATTTATATAGTTAGGAGGAGACTCGTTCAAAGATTTGAAACAAGCCTCTAAAAAGAAATATGCAAAGGTATAAGGAAGGTGAAACCTGTCATTAGTAACTTCCTCTGCTGACTGTGACAAAGCCAATACACACAGGATCTCATTAAGAAGTTCCAGTGGACCTTACCCACTTAATTAATTCCATCCAGTTACAAATGAGCAAAGACAGAATGATAGTCAGGAGGACAAAAAGTGCTGGCCAGCTCATGGCAAGTGAAGCAGGGCCCCATTGATACAGCTGCAGCAACAGACAAACCTGGCCAAAGGCAACAGGCAGCTGGAGCGAGGATCCAGCCTCCTCCAGCTGCTCGGGGCTGGTGCAGCACAAATCCTGTTACCTGGCTGCTGCTGCTGCTGCTTGGCAAAAACTGGAAGCCATCACAGTTGTTCCCTTGATATTGCCATTGGCTTTAACTAGCCTAATGGAGAGAGTTAGTAACGTAGAAATGTGCAGCTCAGTGGGTGCCACAGCTCAGGTATAGATGACTTACAGTGGGTCTTGAAACTCCCTGGTTATTTTTAGTGGAGCAGCCTACTGTCCTGTGCTGTCAACAGGAAAACCTGCAGCAGAGGTTTTTGTATTTCTAGGATCAAGTAGTTTAAAATGAAATTTTCATAAATCAATATAATTGACTCTAGTCCTATAGGAAGTCACTCAAGAATAAAGTTTGAGGAAGGAGCTTATTCTACTTCACAGCTTAAAATAGACTATGTATTTCTACATTGATTCTTCTCACTAACTGCATGAAAAACAAGCAACTCCTCACATTAATGTAGGAGTTAGAGATTGCATTGGGTTCAGGTAGCCTCAAAGCAGATTATCTGACCTCCATGAAACTAGAGAAAGAAACTAAATCTTCGAAGATTTGCTTGAATGCTTTACTTAAGAATTCACTGAATATCAAATCATGCTCAAAAAATGTAGACTATCCATAGATTTAATAAATAGAGAAGTAATATTTATTTCATAGACAGAATAAAATGATTAAAGAAATTCTTCAAAACTAATGGCAAAGTGTAAATTTCTCTGGTATTTAGTTCCACGTAGCAGCAAAGTGGTAATGGCCTTTATTTAATGAGTATCTACAGCTCTCAAAAGGACACAGTTTTAAGCTATTTACTCCCCTTATTGACCTGTGAACTGTTACTAAAAGTTGCATTTGAGTCAATGAAATGTCTCATCTGACTAA